GAAGCACATTTCTAAGTAAGAAAAGGCATAAGACACCATGTTGAGACGGCGCAACGAAGCAGATTTCCAAGTCACGCACAAAATATACCAACGTCGGAACACTTTTGGAACTTGAGATGTCGAAAAAGTGCACGCCGGTGTGGCGCGAAGCACATCTCCAAGTCAAAAGTGTCAAAAACTGACGGTCCCAGACCACCTTTGAAAGTTGAGATGTCGAAAAAAATGCACGCTGTTGTGGCTTTCCGAATCAAAATGTTAAAAGCACTACAGGCGCGAACTACTTTTTGACGCGCAGATGTCGAAAAAAGTTGCACGCTGTTGTGGCGCGAAGCACATTTCCAATTCAGAATGCACAAAGCGCGAGATGTACGGACCACTTTTGACGGTTGAGATGTGGTTTTGCGTGGCAGGCGCAAGGGATTTTGCACCTTGTCAAAAGTGAGCGAAAGGTGAAAGTCTTGTTGCACTACACCACACTCAATCCAGCAGTTGTGGGTGAGGTGATCACTGCAAACATTACAACCACTCTAACAAACGCAAATCCAACCACCTCTCGGTCAACCAGTGAATTCCCTCTGCCATCCGTGATTCACAACAACCAGCCTCTCCTATAGTTTTCTGATTCTAAAACTTCCGCCACCGCCGCGCGCGGTACTACTGGTATGATGGGGACATTAGAAAAAGAAACAGCGCCCAAGCATAAGGGTTAGCATGTAGTCGTTGAGTCGTGGTCTTTGATTCATGGTCGCTGATTCGGATATGTGGTCGCTGATCCGTGAAATGTGGTCGCTGATCCGTGAAATATGGTCGCTGATTCTCATTATGTGGTCGCTGATTCGTGGTCGCTGATTCGTGGTGATTGATTCGGAGGGCTGGTCGCTGATTCGGAGTTTTCTCGGCGGTTCCAACATCATAGCATAAAGCTGCAACAAACTCGACGGCGCACCCTCGGCCAGTGCAGCCAACATCTTTTCCTCACGCAGGTGTCGAGTCATGCCATGAAGCCAACCGTCCCAGGCCATGATCACAGGCTGGATCTGTGCAACGTACAGCGCGAAGCTCTTGAAACCAGGCTTTGGTTCACCATACTTGTTCAAGCCTGAGGCCCAATAGCCAAGGTGGGTTTCACTGCTGCACCGTTCCCAGCTCACATATCTGTGGCCAAAAGCTACGCATCCGCTGCCAAGCCAAATCAAGATCATCAGAAGAGCAAAAACATACATCCTCTGCTTGCAGTACTTGTAGGTCACGTACACATCTGACAGCATGTCGGCCAGCCAGAGCAAAACCATTTGAACCACTTCAGCTTTTGCAAAGAATCTTTCAACATGTTCCTCACCTGCAAGTTTTCGGACAACAAACTCTGCAACACATCCGCTGCACTTTTTCAAGAGAAACAGAGCCAACAGCAGCATTCCACAGAGCAACAGCTGTGTGCGATGCTCACCGCACGTCAGGATTGCCCACTCCATGATCTTCCGGATCTGGTCGGTGAAGCAAGGCCCTGGGGCGAACCTGCGCAGGTTGCCCAAATCCACCATTTTCGCATGCAAGACGTGGAACTCTTTGCCCAACGGTTCTCGCAACACCACCGCGGCCGCAATGGCCAGTGCCAGGTCGAGCAAACCACAGACTTTGACGGCGAAAGCCCCGGGACCAGCTGGGCAAATGACAGATCCGCCGTGGATTTCCGGTTCATCGGCCGCCTTGTCGCACAGCTCTTCTCTCACGGCCAGGAGGAGAGGCGTCTCCTCTTCCTCCCCGTCACTCGATTCGGGCAGCGGTCGGATGCTTTGAACCGACGCCTCCCGAGGCCGGCGCCTCCAAGGCCGCGACAAACCGCAACCCATGGCCGACACCACAATCGTTTCTTCTACTCAAAAGCGAGTGCAGAAAGGCCCACGTTGTACCACGCGATCTCATCTTGCGAAATGCTGCTTCTTGGCACGTGACACATAACACACTTCCTTTTGGGACATGTTGGAAGGGGTTGGCATGAAATGGAGTGTATGTGGGAATGTGTTAGCATTGCTTTGAATCGCTCAAAAACCTTCTGCAAGCCAGAATTTCAGCCAGGCCACAATGTGGATACCTGCTGAGTCCAGTTTCTTCCTTGTCTCAATACAACTGACGCCAGAAACCTGCTCAGTTTGACAAAAGGGAAAGATAGCTTCAGATCAGGACGCAACTGAGGACCGCGCTATGCAAAATGGCGCCGTGCCAAGACAATTTTGTCATCCACATGGCGCACTTGCTGCTGTTGGGCCGGGCAACATATTTTTCTGCCTCGGTCAGTTCTGGACGTCAAAAGAATGACGAGAATGACAAGAATGACAAGCTAGATGTTTTAGATGTTCCTTACATCAACTTTGCATCAGAATCATGACAGCCGAGACCTGTCAGCAAGTGCGGGGCAAAAGGGTTTGTCAAGATCAAAATCCTTGGAACTGCATGGGACTCTTGCGCAGCAAATGCGCAATGCACATCAATGTACTATATGTACTTGACATTTTTCATGAAAATGGAAAAAGGCATGTTACGGCAACCTTGAAAACACCCAAAAAAAATCCATCAGCTCGAACTGTGCTTCGCAAAGAAAACGCGCGCGATGTTTCGACTGGCGGAATGATTCTTGAAGGCTGGGATGAGGAGATGTCATGAACAAACCATTGTCATAGCGAGCAGAGCTGCGTGCTGAAATCTGCGGAAGATACCTTTGAAACCGCGTTTCCGCAGGCATAGAGCTGCTAGGTCCTTTTCTCTGGGCTTGAGCCAAGGCACGTGAAATGTCCTTGGCGTGTCATCCTTGCTGCAGGGGCCATGCTATTCTTCACGACAGCTACGCCCTTCTACATTTCATGCTATGCAAAACATCTATGCCATGAGATCCATGACAAAACGTGAGTACCCTTCTACTCACCATGAATCTTTTGAAAAACACCTGGGAGATTCACCGCACTCCCCCTTTGGCTTTCAGCCAAACTCAAAAACTTCAGAGATCCCCTTGGACCCTTCAGCAGATCTCTTCACACCTCCGTCACTTGATCGCCATCTTCCATGGCTTCGCCAACGACGTCCCACTCTGGCAACCGCGGAGTAGGCACTTGTTGGGGTGGAGGGGCTGCAACGGTTGGTCGGCGCAAGGGCGGTTGCACCGCCGCTGGGCCAATCTCTGACTATCCAGCGCCTGCCGTGAGCCAGACAAACCTCCTTCCACCTTGGTATAGATCTTGCTGGATCCCTTCTTGGTCCCTCTCTTCAGCGCGCGTCCCAGAGCAGCCTCATAGTCCACTTGTGCTTGCGGGTGTACTTCTGGACCGCGATCGAAGCCATCCGTACTGCCCATAGAACCCGTAGCCCGGTTTGCTCGGGGAGCGCTGAGGGTTCCTTGTTGCCCTTGCACAGGGGCCCTTCGCCATCGGCGGGCAATGGAGCCATGGGCGATTGCCCTCTCAACTGTCTTCCCGGCCTCCAGTCCTTCAAGAGCACGTTGTTGGTGGGACCTGGCTTCCACCGTAGCATCATCTTCTGCATTGATTGCCGCGGCACTGATTGCCACAGGCGCTGAATATCCTTGAGGTACACCTTGTGGCGCCTGGCTGAACCCAGGTCCCCAGTGCGCCTCACTGCCCTCGAAGTGCTGGTCCGTCTCCAAGTTCATTGGTGGAGCCAACCAGGATTCCGTCACCCCCTGGTTGAACTCGTCCACAGTCTCCGGTGGTACACCTGGCGGGTGCAGTCCCCCTTCTTCAGCCATAGCAGGGGTTGGACCTTGCGAACCAGCTGAAGTGACGAAGATGGTATATCCTCGCCATTGGTACGGCCGTTCTTTTTCGACTGGCCCATCCCAACGATCAACCACAGTCAGCTTCCTCACGGGATACCCCACTGGGTACCTGATTTGCATTCGCTCCGGCTGGAGCTCTAAACCGCTTTTCGGCGACTTGCGGTGCAAGGGATGCAAACTCTGCCACCTAAGTTTGCGGTGGTACTTGATCCAGAAGGATCGGCCTCCCAGCTGGAGGTTTTTCCAGTAATCGGAGCTCCCCTGTGGCGGCTCCTGAAATAGGTCCAGTGCCAGCAACTCAGCGCCCATCGGGAAAGTTTCCACTTGCGCCGCCGGGGACGCCATGGCTTTGAGGCGCGGCCGAGAGACTGGGGAGCCTTGGAGGCTAAGGTCCAATAGTTTTGGCATCTCCAATTCGGGAGACTCTCTACAAGCCGTCATCCTAGCCACAGCCGAACCATCAGCCGAACCCTCGCTACGAACCCGACCTTCACCTGAAACACCTGCCTCCTGCAACTCTCCTACCAGAACGGGTTCGTTTTCCCTCGTTCTGCTCTTCCCTACGGCCCACTCTGTCTTTCTTTTTTCATTCTTGTGGCCCTTGGCTCTTGTTGGGTCTTCTTTGTTCTTGTCAACTTGGCTCCAACCTCTCGCCTGCACAGGACCTACCAACTTCACACTTGGAACTGGATCCACCACCACATCAGCCCTGTACACTGAGCTACGCACATTCTCTACATCATCCACGAAACCCGTGATGGAGGTGGTGGAATCATTATAGTTTACATCGTGACCTACCCTAGGAAACGACCGTAGAGACGGTACATCGTCCAAGTCGTGACCTACCCTAGGAAACGACCGTAGAGACGGTACATCGTTCAAGTCGTGACACCGTGAGCACTTGACGACCAAAAGCAGAGCAGCTATTCCCACCAAAAGAGCTCCCAGCGACGCAGTCAGCGGTTCCAGTTCCAGCATAGCTTCTCGAAGTTGTGCAGCACGAGCTAAAAAGCACGCTGCTCCAGCCACACCAGAGATCGCTGCAACCTTAGCTGCAGTGGCGACCTTGGCGGGACAATCCTCAGCCGACGGGAAGCTCATACCCAAAAATGACCAAAACCGAACCCATGCAGATGGCTGAGAGATAGCCTTGGTGAGAAAATCCGCTATCAGATCCGATCCCCTAACATGACAAATTCTCCACTGGTTACCTAACTGCAATTTTTCCTTCAGGCAGTTGGCACGGAGCCGGAGATGCCTTGTTCTCCAAGGACCGTCAGGCTTCTGCGCTATTTGAATTGCTGACAAGTTGTCCCCTAGGATCACCTTTTCAAACCCTTCACCGTTTGGTTCACCGGTGATTGCTACCATCAAAGCTTCAGCCGACATCAGCATGGTTAAACTCTCTACATATCCCATCAGCTCTGCCTCCGCCGTGGATAACACGGAGAACGCTTGACGTGAGGATTCCCATTGAATGGGGCCCCCAGCAAGGCATGTCACTATGCCCTGAATGCTCCTCTCACCCCCCGGGGCAAAGCTGACGTCTGAGAAAGCCTCCAAGAGTCTGTCATGCCGCGGGATGCTGAGTTGGTCAGCCTCCCCATGGCTGGAATCACAAGGCCCGTACACTAATCCTACCGTGGGGGTACCCTTCAAAAATTCCAACAGCTGAACACCCAAATTCATCGACCACCTAGGATTTTTCAAGGTGTTTCGACCCATCATCCCCACCCCATAGCTTATATCGGGACGAGATCGTATTGAAAGCCAGAGCAGCTCCCCAGTCAGGGCTTGTGCAGCACGCACGTCCTCAGCTGTGGCAACTTCGGGTTCCTCAGGAGGATCTGACTTGGCCACTGGTGTGTTCCTGGACCGTTGAACGCGATGGCGTTCCAAGAGCTCCTCAATGTATGATGGTTGAGCTACCCTAAGATGCGTGTCATCGTCCCACTTAAGCTCAAAACCACAAAAACGAGTCCATTGATCCTTCCCGACCGTTTCAGGGGTTGAAACCTTCCATTCCTGTTGCAGCCTGGTCAGAAACCCTTGGCGAATATGACTGGGACCTAAGACCATGAGATCATCAACGTAAACCACCAGATGACCACAGCATCCCTCGATAGACCCATCCTTAGATTCCCACCCAATGCGCCACAAATTCCCTTCAGCCGTTTGAACCAACCCCAACCGTTTGCCAGTCGCCGTGTCCGTCCACCGGAAAGTTCTGACTGTTCTGTCCCGATGTCCAGCCCAATGATTTGGGCTACTGTTGAATCCGTAGAGTGCCTTGGACACCCGCCACCGCTCTGTCGGTGACACCACTCCTGCAGCCACTAGGACCTTTGGGGGGATTACTATAGCCTCACGTGTACCAGCTTCAGGGGGTGGTCTTGGTGCCAACAGAAATGCTGTTTTTATATCCGTAACATCCATACCCCATCCCTGTAACACCCCATATCGAATGGCAGCCCTGGTTAGGGTACCATCCGCCCCTGATGCGTACACGCCGGCCGGCGCCGGGTCATTGGCTTCATTAAGAAGGTTTCCACACACTACACCTCTCACCTTTTTGCGACCACCGTTTGGCCCTGCCTTTACTGTACATACCAGTTTACCTGGTACCAACTCGACCTGTGACATGTCAAGCTGACCTTCTTCCACTGGAATGATGGCTTGGGTTTCCTCCGTGAGAGAATGGTACTCATTTTTCATTGCCGGGATCCACTCCTGAAGATTTTTTCTCACTTCATCCAAAGAAACCGTAGTGGTTTGAAGGACTTCACCATCCTTACCCAAATGAACCTGGTCACCACCAACTTGAACACCACAGAGCCTAAGAGTTTCCCGTTTCTCCCGCTCAGCCAAGACACTCAGATCCCTTTCTAACCCACTACGTTCCTCCGTCAACCATTCAATTGTTTGACCGACTACCCTACCACTACTTTCATCCATGGGAACCGTGTGGAGCTTGTCCATGATCTCATGTTGATTCCTGTCACGAACCTCCGACCACACCCGTTCAACCAATCTACACTCCAACCGTCTCACCACCACCTTGGAGATACCATCCACCACCTCCCCCGGAACCGCACTACCGTCCGACGAATCCATCCAAGGCGCATCCACAACCGTCTCCCCCGCCCCTGACGCTTCAGCTACCCCCACATCCAGAGGCACCGAGCTTTCTGGAGAGATGCCAGAGTCTTCAAAAAGGCCAAGAGGCTCCCCCCCATCGGCAACCGATGGAACCAAGGCACGTGGATCATCATCCTCTAAAAGGCTGGGTTCATATTCGGGGTCATCCGTGGTAGAATCATACATCCCATGTGGAAAGGTGACAATGGCTGGTGGTTTGGGAGGACCTAAGGGCAAGGGCTGCTTTCCAACGAGTCTCCTTGGAGGGCATTCCTCAGTCATGTCAATGGGTGGTGGTTGCCCGCCAGCTTCTTGAAGTTCGATGGCGACATCAATACCCATGGGTGATGGTAAAATGGCTTCCCGAACATGCATGACTTTGTGATCCTTGGTCAAAACAACCCACCCTTGAGTCATGACAGGAGAGGGACACAAAAGCCGGGCATCAACAAAAGGCCTAGCCATAGAGCCACGACCATGCCATCGTTTGCGTTTAACCATGACCTCAGCATTATATGGGAGCATGGGGGGTGTCGGGACTCCAAGATCCTTCAACTGTCGCCTGCACCGTTCCTCCACTGCAAATTGCAATGCTGACGGCCAGTGCCGGTTTTCAAGACCGGCTTGGTGTAAATACAGTCTAGTCCTACGTTTCAGCTGTTGGATTTCCGACTCCACCCGGCCGTTTGAACTGGGATCGTCACCCCCAGTCATCGACTGGACCAAATGGTTTTTGGCACACCAAGCTCCCACAGGAACCGACAAAAATTCTTTGGCCCGATCCGAATGGATTCTGCGGGGCTCCAAACCAAGGTACTTGAACCGGGTGAACAACAAATCCAACCCTTGGGTAACCTCAGCTTGGTGGCGGCTTTTCAAAGTAACCGCCAAGGTGACCTGTTTGACCTTGAGAGGAACAGCAACTTGATCCATTTTTTCCAACACTGGATCCTTTACACTCACCTTTTCTTCAAGATCCCCAGAGGGTTCTATTTCAGCTGGCTCAGCCAGTGCCGCTCCCCCGGAGGGAGGGTCTTCATCTGGTTCTTCCAAAGCATACTCAGCTTCGTCTAACCCCTCACCCCATGACGGATCCTCCACTACTTCTACAACATGCTCCCCCAAAACTACCCCATCCGGCAGTGGAGAACTGGTGGACTTGGCATCTTCTTCCATGTCATGAAACCAAGGCACAACTACCGTTCCTACCAGAGCATATTTGACGACCTTCGCAGTGGCTGGGTCCTTCGCCTTGATGAGTGGCACAAGATCTACACTTAAAGACCATGATGATTCACCCCCAAAACGTCTTCGTCGATGTGGTGCGCCGGGCGCCATGTTCAACACACATTGACGACAGTCCCTACGATATGGATGGTGACCTTGCTGAAAGTGTTGTTTCCATCCTTCATATCCCAAAACCTTTTTGACCTCAGGCCTCATGTTTTGATGTGCCCGAAAAAGAGCTTCGACGGAAACCCGAACCGCTTGTTTCAACCCAGGAGCCCATGCTGACCAGCTACTGGTTTGAGCACACCGGTCCCCCAAATCCGGTTTCAGTGGTTGACCCTTTTTGGTGGATCTACACCCGTGAAGCTGTTCGAACCCATCAAAATTAGTCATGACCGTAGTAGGCTTAACTTGGGGATGTCCAAAAGACCCTTGATCGAAAGATACCCTACGGAGGGATTCATCCAAAGATTCCAAGTAGTCCCACTCTGGCCAAGCCCAAAAAGATGGTGCTTCAAGTTCACCAGCATACTCCGCCGGGTCTTCCGGTGATTCCAGGAGGAACCCGACCCCCGGCAACTGTGGCATCTGGCATTCGCGTGCTAGGCACCACAATCCAAGTTGCTTGAGGAAAAGGGCGGAATCGCCGTCCACTTTGAGTTGATCCATGGTCCCCAGACCGCCCAAACAATAACGATCCGAGTAGCGACCCCGAAGTGGAACCGGACCCGGCCGGATGTTTCGCAATCGGGACACTGATCTACAGGGAGGACCTCCTACAATGGCAATGATTGGGACCTGAGTAACTATTTCGGTGAGGTAACCCCATAAATCCGGATTGTGTAAGTCCATCAGTGGATTGGCCATAACATCTAAAGCGATCACCTCAAAACCCGAAGACCATTTGTGATTCCACTCTTTGGTGCTTTGGGGGTCCCCGGAAAACAAGTGGATGATCAACCCCTTGGCCTGACGATGTCTTTTACGAATTTTTCGATTCCATGGCAACCTGGAAGCATCCCATGTTTGGCCTTGACCTACCATGAACTGCAGCACCGAATCCGGGATATGTGGGAACCGTTCCAACCACCATCGACGAACCTCATCACCGACCTGACCAGCAGCGAGACGGGGCCCACAGCGACGCATGCGCTCATCCCTTTCGATTTCTTTGATAAGGGCAAGAGCATGTTGTTCATGAACTGCCGGACAACCGTTTCTCAACCAACAACGAATCTGCCCATACCGCCCGTGATCCACTGTGCAACCGCTAGAATCCCACCGTATCTTGTATCCCAAATTCACCAAACCCCTGAGAGGCACGATTGGCTCCACCTCGAAAGGTGAAAGTAGAGTGCCTGTGTCCACGGCTTGGTACAGTTGAGCTGTCCCCGCCGCCAACTCCACCTGCACTTCAACGGCGGCGGCGATTTCCTCAGCGCTACCTGTTCGGAGAGCGTTCGTAGCTCCCCCATCCAACAGCCCTGTTTTCTTTTCCACCAAATTGGTCTTTTTGAGGTGAATGGCTTTAACATTGGGACGGATGGTTTTCATCAAGGTTTTGGCTTCAGCCAACAAGTCATCAATCACCACCGTACCCTTCGACCCCACACCATCCTCTTGAAGTTTCGTTTTGTCGACCGAAGTCGAACCCTTCTCTGGAACCGGGATGCCCGGGGGCGGACCCATAGGAGCCTCAGCTTCTGCTCCCTTGGAACCCTTTGGTGGCGACTCCTTAGCCTTAGTCTTGGCCACCTTTTTCTTTCCTCCCACATGTGGGCATTCCTTCCTAGAGTGTCCAACTGCTGAACAGGCAAAACACCTACCATCCTTTGAACTCAACATTGAATGGACAAACTTGCATTGGTCAGCCTTATGACACCCATCATCTTTGACACCCCAAAAACGACACGGATGTTTCGACGTGACTGCAGCCGCATTAACGTTGGAGGTCAAACCACTGGGTTTCCCACCTTCTCCACCAGAACCACCCTTGGCACTACCACTGCTGACCGTCGGCTCCTGAAGTGATTTGATGGATAACTTAGAAGTCCCGCCCTTTGACGACGAACCCCCTGACCCACCGTCACCACCCAGACCGATCATCAGTTCTTCGGCTTCAGCTTGGACATCTTCTGAGAAACCCCAAATGGCTTGAAAGGTTGGCTTCACATCCACCCCCAGTTGTAGTTGTTGACGCACCATGTTCAACCGATATGCCACCTGAGGTGACTTCATGCTAAGACCATCCGTGGCTTTTTGGAGGGCCCCTGACAACACCATGGGATCGGGAATGGAAATGCCTAGCTCCATGGCACGTGTAACATTTCGTCTCCACACCCATACCCACTCCAGGATATCCGAAACCCCATCTCCACACTTCCCATCCGTGATGCTCTGAAGCACCCGTGTCCGTTCACTCGCACCACCCGGCTGAAAAGTAATCAGCAGCCGAAAAATGATTTGGTCCACCGAGACACGCCTTGAAGCCACAAGGTCATTCCTAAGTGAGTCAGGAATGGAACCTAGGAGCATTCCCTGGGCTCGTCGTTCCGTCCTTGGCCACAGTGCAGCCTCTGGGCTCAGTTGCGGCCGGAGCCGAAGTTTCGTCAAAGGATCGGCCACCAACCACTCATGGTAACATGTTTCGGCGGCAGTCTTCACCATGGTCCACCACTGGATTGATGAATAGGATAAATCCCCCATGTATGAATCCAACATTGACCACCAATCCCCGAACTGAAGAGCATTGGTGGAGGATTCCAATTTGGGAAGTTCGAAAGTCCTAAGGGTTTCAGTTGGATTTTCACCCACAACTAATCGACCTACCCCCAAACCGTGATTCCCATGACCATGACCCCCATGACCACTTCCCAGCCCTGGCATCGGTGGCACCGGTGACAAAGGTGGCTGTGGAGGCTGACCCCCACTTCCACCCACTGGAACCATCCAAGGCGCTCGTGTTCCCAAACCCCCACCCATAGCTCTCGGCGGTGAAGCCGGAGGTGGCCCCGGTGGTGGCGGTGGAATAAATCCATCATCTTCCACTGCCGTCGCAAAGGAACCATGAGACGACTGTGATTTTTGGTTTCATGGATTGGATCCCCGCTCTAAACTTCTCTTCAGCTTCTCTCAAACATCTCAGCCGAAAAAGTTCCACAATATCCATAACCACATCTTTGTTGGGAGTTTCAGAATTCGACTTAGCCACAGGCACATCCCTAACATGGTGCACCCCTTTCTCATCCACCCAAAGTTGTTGTTGCCCCATGGTGGCCTGCCCGGACACGGAACCCGGCCTCTGCCCCTCCATGAGTTGACAACTCTCCAATTCCATCCCTAGTCTTTCATACCCCCCTACGTTGTGGGCTCCAAAAGGGACTCATTTGGGGTTGTTGGGGTTGAGAAGGCATGTACCCATGAAACCAACCATCTCCCATCCCCATGACATGTTGACCCGGAGCATCATTCGCTCCATCCAAGGCACTTTGAACCCTAGAGGCACTTGCCTGGTGGCTTCGGCTTCCAGGGAAGGGACTTTCCAGGGAAAGGACCCTGATGGCTTGCCCCATCCAAGGCACGTTGAAAACCAGAGGCGCTTGTTGCCCCATCCAAGGCACCGAGAGACTGCGAAGCCCTAGCGGCTCCATCCAAGGCACCCAAGACCCTTTGAGATCCAGAAGCCCCAAAGGCTCCATCCAAGGCACTGTTCAAACCCGAGGCCCCCCTGGCCCCATCCAAGGCGCTTGAACTCTGACCCCCGGCTTCTGGTGGTGTGTGGATCCTGACCCCCCAGGTTCGTTGTCGATCTCTCCCATGACTCCGGCCTCGTCCCCAGCAACACCACTTGCCAAGGCATCCAGCATCTCATCGGCTGAAGCAAGGCCTCCCCTAGCCAAGAAGTTTTTTCGGCGACGATCCATGGCGTCGAAACCTTAGGGCTTTGGGCTCATAACCCGCGTTTCCGCAGGCATAGAGCTGCTAGGTCCTTTTCTCTGGGCTTGAGCCAAGGCACGTGAAATGTCCTTGGCGTGTCATCCTTGCTGCAGGGGCCATGCTATTCTTCACGACAGCTACGCCCTTCTACATTTCATGCTATGCAAAACATCTATGCCATGAGATCCATGACAAAACGTGAGTACCCTTCTACTCACCATGAATCTTTTGAAAAACACCTGGGAGATTCACCGCAGAAACGATAGAGCACCAAAAATATCCAAAATCAGAGTTCCGCGCAGCAGGAAAAAGTGGCACCAGATTCACCACCGTATGCAACGCTCAGGAGGCTCAGGCTGTCGCGAAGTCAAGTCTTGAAGTCTTGTAGCTGTGACCTTGGCAGCGACAAATCAAACTCCGAAGCGTGGAAGGTAAATTCCATGACAGTGTGACAGTTCAGGGCAACTGTGACAACCAGGTAGGTTCCCTATCTCCCGACCTACAGATGGCTACTTTTGTTCAAGCACACTGATTGCCAGGGTTCGAAGTACGAACAGTAGAAGAACCAAACAACATCAAACAACTGAACCAAACAACTGGGAGTTTTGATCTTTGGCCCTCGCCCAAGAATGGTTCGTTCGATTTACAAATCGGATTCCCCAAAACGCCGAAGCCGACATCTGTTCACAGCACCAGAGGTGAGGTCCCCTAAATCCCTCCACCAGCCAAGCATGTTTTGAAGCAATTATACTTGGCCACGAGTTCTTGATCTGAAAGGATTTTCATAAAACCTTCCAGTGTTAACATCGCTGCATGATCTGCATGCTGACATTCGGGCTAACTGGCCTAACTTATTGACATCAGATGCTGGCGATTGAAATCTCAAAGGTTATTTGCATCTCTGCACCAACCTTCTGGACTCATGTGTTGCATACCCTCCGCTTGAGCTCCGCACTTCCAATCATGTGCCACTTGTGCTCCGCACATGCAGCCCTGCGGCACAGGCGCCGTTCTTCTCACCATCATCGTTCCATGTTATGAAATATGATGAAACACGATGACAATTCTCACAATCATCGGTCCACTGTATGAAACATGATGAAACACGATGACAAATGTATATCAACACGGATATCCACTTGTTTGCATGTTCCAAAATATAGCAGACTTGTTGGGCAAGTCCCTGGGATATCGACAGGTTGTCATTTCGGGCTGAGCGCCACCATTGAAAACCCGTCAAAGTAGATCTTGGTATCTGCGCGGACGGAGCCCTTGGCACCTCCGGCGATAGACTGGAGATACGACAGGTCGCCCTGGGCGGTCAAAACAGGCAGAAAAAGGCAGGTTGAACGGGTTGAACCAACAGGAACCAGTAGAAATTCACCAAGGAAGGGATGTGAACCAACTAAATATGAGGATATTCACCAAAAAAAGGAACATCAATGGAATTTCACTCCAAAAAAATTGCTGTCCGCGCCGAAAAGATGGGATTCCAACTGGCATCCCGAGCAGCGAACTCCTGCGATGCCATGGACGGTCATCGATGTTCACACCTGACCGCTGGGAAACATCAACACATCTGAAAGCTTGGCCAAATTTGGGGCGGTAAAAAAAAACAAATTGAACACACCGCCACTTGCGGATTGCCAGGACTTGGGAACCCATTTTTTCATCAATCGTATCTTGCCATGACAGGATGTCAAGGGTGGTACTATGCACCACCACAAATGTCACCCCCATCTGAGGTTGCTATTCCAGTGCAGTTCTAACATGTTCTAACATGCAGCAAGATGCTTAACATCTTTCATCATCTTTCAGCCAAAAGAATGGCGTCTTCCCATGGATTTCCGACATCTTCGCATCTTCGCCTCAAAGCACAGCCATGTGTTGAGCACCTGACATCGGGAACCACGAGATCTTGGAGGTGTGAACAGGTGTGAACAATCGAACATGGGGGATTTAACATGCTGCTTCATGCTGTTTCATCCTGAAATGGTGGCATATGGGCTGATTCATCTTTCACTTTCAAGAGACCCCAAAATGAAGAAATCCCACACTCAACCGGGATTTTCTCTATTTGAGGGAAGGGATTGATCAATAAACCCCGCTGTTGATTTTCAAACACTTGTCATCGCCAAACTGAGTAGCGCCTTGACACAAATAGCTGGACGGCTAGATATTCCACACCGAAAACATTGTGAAAATACACATGGAGGAATATTCTCGTTCAATCCCAAGCCTCAAATCAAACAGCTTTTTTGGGGGATACATTGGATACATCAGTTTCAGGAATTTCTGCCTCGTCTCTCATCTGAATCATAGTGAATCAGTCTGGATGACGTCCTTGAGTCTGGAAAAGTTTGGAAAGGTTTATGAACTGCACTATTTCAGGGCAGAAGGTTATGAACTGTTGAACTCCCAAAGAAAGAACTGGAAGAATAGATCGGGAGGGATCGATATCCATATCGATTTTTTCCAATATTCCAACTATTTCAGTTGCAACAACTGCACCTAGATTCTAGATGAAGACTGCACTTTGTTGATGATCTGGTGCATTTTTCAGTTCCTTTTTCAAAATGATGGATCCCTAGTCATCTCCAAAACGAATGTGAAAATAAAGCGAATGACCACCAAAGTTGGCAAAGGATAGTCAGCTTCCATCATATTTTTTTTGTAGTCCACGTTTTTGCTGACATCAGTCATCTTGTCCAAAGGCAAGATTTCAGTTGTCTTCTGCCACGCAAACCCTTTCGACAATCTTAACATGATCGCTTAAACAGGTCCGCGAATGCAAAAACTGCAATTAAATGCATTGATGATGTAGAAAATGATGATGTCACTTCATTCTCTGCATGGCTCTGCGCAAGTACTTTACATCTGCAGTTTTTTGGCTTCAGGCGCCAGTCCGC